AGGTTATTTGGGCTCATGCTGTTTTTCTCATGTGGGCATTCACATCTATACATTTCTCTCTTAGGATTGCTTTCATTGTGTCTTATAAATTCTAGTATGCTATATTGCCATTACTATTTAATTCCAGATATTTCTTCCTTATTTTCTTCTATGACCCATTGCTTATTCAAGAGCATGTTGTTTAATTTCCATAATTTCTTTGGCTTCTCTTGCCGTTAATTTCTAGTTTCATTGTACGATGATCTGATAATATGTGTGGTAAAATTTCAATTCTTTTGCATTTTCTGTAGCATTTTTTTTTTGGCTAGCTTGTGGTCTATTTTGTAGACAGTCTCATGTACTGCTGAAAAGAATGTGTATTCTTTTGTTGTTGTGTGGAACCCTGTGTACATATATATCTATGAAGTCCATTTGTTCAAAGTTTGGTTCACCTATGATTTTTTCTGTTTTGATTTTCTTGATCTGGTTGATTTGTCTATTTATGATAGTGTGTCACTGAGGAGCCCCAGTATAATTGTATTGGTGTTTATGTGGGTTTAGTGTTTGTTTATGAAGTTGGGTGTGACCGTTTTTGGTGCATATATGTTTATCATTTTATCTTCTTGCTGAATTCCTTCCTATTGAACTCTTGTTATCTCTTAACTGACATGTAATGTCATTTGCTTCTTCTGAATAATTTTAGCTTGTCTGAACATATGGTAGCTACTCTACCTTGTTTCTAGATTCCTGATGGGATATTTCTATCCTTTGATTTTTAGTTTATGAATTTTGAGGGGTAGTTAAATATGTTTCTTGTGTAGAGCATACCATTGGATTTTGTTCCTTGATCCATTCTGCCAATCTGTGTCTTTTGATTAGTGAATTGAGGCTATTTACATTGCTAATTATAATTGATAAGCATTTACTTACTCTCCTAATTGCATTATTTTCCTTCTCCTGATTCCTTTTCTTTTTCTTCTACTTATTGGCTCACCCTGCCTGGTGCATTCATTCTATTGAGAATTTTTTGGAGTGCTGGTTTGGTAGTCATGAAATTTTTTTAAGTGTTCTTCATTATGGAAATTTCTTACTTTTCCATCAGTTTTGAAAGATGGTTTTGTAGGCTATACCAGTTTTGGTTGGAAGTTGTTTTCCTCTATGGTTTGAAATACCATGCCAAACTCTCCTCACCTTTGAGGCTATGTTGGCTAATCTGCTGTAATTCTAATGGGTTTTCCTTTATAAATGTTTTGTTACTTTCCTCAAATAGGTTTTAAAGTTCTGTTCTTGTGTTGAATTTCTGTTATTTTGACCATGATGTGTTGTGGACTGGTTCTTTTCTGCTCAGGGCTATTGGGGTTCTGTATGCATCATTTGTCTGTACCTATTCATTTCTTCCCCTGTTTTGAAAGTTTTGTGCTGTTACTTTTGTAAGCAGGGTTTTTATGACCTTTTTGGTGTCTTCTGATTTTCACTAATTCCAGTTAATTTTAGATTAGTCTTTGCACCATTTAGCAGCTGTTGGATCCATTGTTTTAAAATGTTTTTATCGGGTATCTCTAATTAATCAGTCATCAACCACAGCCCTGTCTTGTAGACCTGATAATCTGTCCTCATACTGGTCACTTGTGTTGCCCATACTTTCTATAAACTTTTTAATCTTTTGGATTTCTGTTTTGTATTTGTTATGGGCTCTTAATTATTTTCTATGCTAGGCAGTCAGGTATTGCAACTCTCTCTAACTTATCTAGCTTTTTATTTGTGTCTCTGTAGACTTGCTGGTAGTTTCATTAGGGTCATTATCTGTTTAGTTAGGTCTTCTCTGAATTCACCAAGCATCTTATTGGTCCGTTTCATTACTTCCACTGTTATTCTTTCAGATAACCTGACTGTGTGGCCTTTGGTACCCGCCACGCTGATCCCTTTTGGATTGGCTTTGGGGACATGTGGCAGTTTTGGAGACATTTTGTTGCCTTGTCTTCTCATGTTCTTTTTTTTTTTTTTTATATGGTGGTTCATTTCATATGGTGGTGCTTGTGGGTTGATTCAGGTGGGTAGCTTTGTTTCTACTATGGAAATCTCTTTTCACAGATGTCTTCTGGGATTGCCTCTGTCTGAGGATCTAGTCACCTTTGTTTATTTGGGAGGGGATATTGCAGCTTGTTTGGCTCAGTACCCAATTCTTTAGGAATGGGCTTCATTCTTGTTTATGACCTCTAGGCAGTCCAGGTATTGGCATACAATGAAATTCAATTGATAGCAACAACTAAGTCACCTTAGCTACAGTGACAAAATCAGTACTAACAATAGTCTCGAATACAAATTGTATACTGACAGATCCTAAGAACAAACAATGTAACCCTCTTTTTCCATAGAAAAGAGATCTAGATTATAGTATAAACACTAAAACAAATTAGCTATTGACTTATAGTAAATGTCTTAACTCAGTGGATCAACTTTACCTTCACTAACAATAGAATAGTATTCAAAACAGTAAGACATAGATAACTATGTGTAGATTCATGAAGCTTAATGGTTATACTTGTGGCGCTAGAGCATGTGGGGAGTGTGAGCACGAAAAAAAGTAAAGACTGAAAAATTAAGCAGCGGAAGATGAGAATTATAAAAGTGACATGAAGGGTCCTGTGAAAAAGTAAAAGGAAGTTAACAGCATTAGATTTAAGTAATAGAAAAAAACAACAAGAAAAAGGAAAACTAAGAAAAAATAGAGAGTAAGTAAAAAAATTAAGGGGAGAGAGAGAGAGAGCGAAAGAGAGAGAGAAAGGGGAAAAAGAGGACTAAAACAAAGATAATAAAAGGCAAAAAAGTAGGAGAAAAAACTCCTTCCAAACACTCCTCCACACACATACACAGGAAAAAAAAAAATTCTTAAAGGAGAAAAAAAATTGGCCAAAATTTTTTCTCTGTACTTCCAAATGAGTGGTTTCCTTTTACGACCAGTAGTATTTAGAATCCAGCAAGTCACTGTCCTCTCTACCTCACTTTACAGCCTGTGGGTTTGTGAGGTGATCCTGCTACTACTCCCTGTGTGTAAATCCCAGACTGTGACAGCTGTCTAAGCCATGTCACGTCCCTCTCCCGTTAGTACATAGAGAAGAAATTAGACCACTGGTGTCTACTGATGTAGGACTCTGGGTGGGGGCTCAAGTAGCCTGCTGGACTCAATGCCACAATTTTTAGATCCAGTCATTTCTGAAAATCACAGCTGCTGAACCTGGCCTGCTACCACGGAGTGCAGGTCCAACATCCTTCCTCACCTGAGATTGGACTTCTCAGGGCGTCCTGGGGCATCTGTGTCTGTCTAGACCTCACCTTCTCCACCTGTGTCTCCTATGGCTTTCTTTCACCCAGCTCCTGTGGTCAGGTAACACTTCAATCCTAGAGTAAAACTGTATAGTACAGGTGTTTTGTGGTTCAGGTCCATACAATCAACCCCTCCTCAGGATGGAGCCTGATTAAACTCTCTCTGGCAATATGGCACTGAATTGTTTTCTCCAGCTCTGTCCTTCCATAAAGAAGTCACTCTCACGGTAAAACCCCACACTGGTTTTGAAATTTATACCAGCCATAGGCTTTTCTTGTGTCTAGCACGGCTGACTTATTTGCTACTTTTTTTTTTTTTTTTAATCAGAGGACTTTTCCAGGCTTCTCTAGGACATTGGCCTTGGTCCCAGTCAGCTGGGTCAATTGGTAGTCATCTCTGCTCTCTGTGTTGAGGGGAACCAAGGCGCAAGGGCAGCTAAGAGTTGGCAGATTGACATGTGCAGCAGTATATTTGCTTCTCTGTGGTGCCAATTATTTGTTGATTAAAACTTAACTTTGAGGATGGTCTTATTCTTCTTTAGTATTATTATTTGTGAAGGTGTCTCACTGCTATCACCATATGTACCATACATGTTTTCAACATGATGCATCTTGGTTCTTTTGCATCTCCCTGATTTACAAATATTATTAATTACTTTGAAGATAAATTCTAAAAATCTTTCCTTTCACATGTTCACTTTACATTCATGCCTTTGTTATTTAAAATGCATTTATTGAATCTGGACCATGTTTCAGAGGTATGGAGATACTGGAGCAGAGCTTATGTATGGAAGATTCTGTCTGTATTGTTGTATTACCTTGTTGACTGTTCGTATATAATTGTATCTATATTTTAAGGTCATGTTTTTCAAAACATTATATTGATAACATTGGCTATATATTTTGACTATTACATTTGATTTGCAAAATAAACAATAACATTTTTAAAAATAGATTTTCTTTTTAAGCACAAATAAAATTGTACTTTTTAAAATGAAAGTATACATATTAATGAAGAATCATGAGATGTTTTGGTACATGTATATATTGTATATAGTTAGGTTAAATAGCTCTATCTCCTGAAACATTATCATTTTTTATGATAAGATCCTTTCTTTGGCTCTTTGAAACATACATTTTATTATCTGTAGTCACCTTTCTGTGCAGTAGCACACTGGAACTTCTTATTCTTATTTCAGTACCCATTTATTGATTTTTCTCCATCCTTTTCATTACCCCACAATAGCTTTTTTACAGAATTTTTTCAGAAAGAAGATAACTTTTTTGTTTGTTTTGTTTTTTGAGACAGGGTCTTGCTGCATAGTTCACACTGGCCTTGAACTCACTGTGTAGCACTAGCTGGCCTCGAACTTGCAGCATTCCTCTTGCCTCAGCTTCCCAAGTGCTAGGATTACAGGGGTATGCCACCATGCCCAGCAGGAAGAACATAACTTTTTAATGAGTATTTTTGAGCCTCTGTACACCTAATAATCTAACAAGAGATGGTGCAAAACACTCTAGAATCTATAAAATACCAGAAATATGTAATAACAAGCACACAAACCCAATTAAAGGAAAGAAATCAATCTTTATATATCTGTTTTGATGTAAAACAACTTTTTAATTTATATTGATCTGAAAATGACTGAAATATTCTGATTTTAGCAACTAACTTGATCTTGCGTTTTGGTCTGCAGGTAGATTGGACTCTAAATATTGGAGAACAGGCCCTTGATATATGTATTGTGTCTTTTAATCAGTCAACATCTTCTGTTTTTGTTCTTGGTGAGAGAAACTTTTTTTGCCTGAAGGATAATGGGCAAATTCGATTTATGAAGAAGCTTGATTATAACCCAAGTTGTTTTCTTCCATATTGCTCAGGTATGTATAAAGATTTTATCTTTTCCATATGTCTAGGCTCTGTTGTGTGTATCATAAAATGCCAGAGTCATACACATATTTTAACCGTCTAGGAAAACATTTTTTTGCTGAAGATGTAGTAGAGATTTTAACTTTCAATATTTGAATAGAGATTTTGTATAAAGCACACATTTGGTTTTGTCAGTCATTTTACTTTAATGACTTATGGAACTGGCTTCCAGGATGCTTCAGTGCTTTCCATGTCACTGTTGAAGAGGGTTCTAGGAAAATGCCAGCTCTTATAAACAGAACAGTAACGTTCAATAGAATGACTGATCCATAGTGAGTGCGCAGTCATTAGCTTAACGTGTCAACATGTTAGTGAAATTATACTCCTTAGGTGAAATGCAGACAGGTTGGCCATTACTTATACATTCAGTGTCTGTTAAATGAGTTCTTTCTGATATTTGTAGCTTGAAATTGAAAAATAATTTAGTACTTAAATTTTTTGTGCATTAAAATCAAGATATTAGAATTAGTTTGTGACCGTTTTCTTCTTATATCTTCAACTTGCAGTTTCTGAGGGAACAATAAATACTTTGATTGGAAACCATAACAATATGTTACACATTTATCAGGATGTGACACTGAAGTGGGCCACTCAGCTCCCCCACATTCCTGTGGCAGTGAAAGTGGGGTCTTTGCAGTAAGTGATATAATTTAACATGACTTCATTAAAGGACCTTCGTTGGAGTTCTCTAGAAGTTTTGAGAAATAATAATGACAAGGGCTCTTACTAAAACATGTGAGTGATGTTATAGGATAATATCAGTAATAGAAATAACCTGAAGTATGAATTATTGGAGAAGAAGGATCTAGGATTAATTAGGACTATTAGTCATTATTATTTAGTATTTTTATCAGGATATCCTTTGTAAATTAAAGATGAAAGCTTTATAATATGATTTGTTTGATATATTGTTTTCTTTAAAATAGAAAAGACTTTTTTCAGCATTTGATGGGTCTCATTTAGAGATCAGTTACTGAGAGAACATGAAATATGCTTGTTCATAAGTTTTGCACTTGTTTCCAGACCTTATTATGTCAACTGATACAGAATTGCTAATTATTGTACATTTAAGCAGTTTAGATTTATAGAGCACCATTTTGTATGTAAAATGAAAGCATCCATATCTTAACATTACATTTATAAAATAATGAAAAATGAGAGAAATGATTCATCATTTCTCAGTAAGTAATTTTTCAAGGCCATTAGTACAAAAGGCAAGATCCTGATCAACTCTTTAGGAACTCAGATTATGTTTAGGAGTTGAGACTCTCAGCCAGTGTATAGAAACACAAGATTCTCTAAAGCTTCATAGATTCCTAGGTTTGTTCAGTTCTGCTTATTTAGACTTTTTATTGCACATTTCAGAACTGTATGTAGAATTCTTCAGTGACACCTACAATATCTGATGAGGATGAGTTATCTCCCCAAATAAGGTGCTGGATATGTAATATTATTGTTGAAATTTGATAAGGGGCATTCATATTTACATGAGTGGTGAATCTAAAGCCTGCATCTTGGCAAAACTGAAACCATGTTTAGAAAACCTGAATTTTTTAAAAAAGAAGTTGCATCCTTATATTCTGTGAGAAAAGACCATCATATAACTGTTACACACTTAACAGGAGTAATAGTTATTTAGTATCTGAAGAATAATTTAAAATCTTAAAATTGGCCTTTCAGTGTCCACCAGATGTCTTTTTAAGTTCAATCAGACTCAGCACACATTGTGCATCAGATTTGCTTGGAAGGGCTTAGAACAGGAAAAACATCTTGCCAGCAGGGCCACGTCAGGTAGTCAGATATTTCTCTCTGGTTGAGTAATTCTTCCAGCAGTCCATAAATCCATCCAAGAGCTGTTGTCTTTGGTTCCACAAGTGACAGTTTAGGTGAAAGAAGACTGATCCACACTGGTGGGTACATGGCCCAGCTTGGTTGCTAATCTCCATACTGCTGAAAGCCAGGGTCTTTCAGGACTTAAAAGTCATTGTAGTTTTTGTGCACAGTTCGGCTTGAGAGTGATACGAGATTTAGTTGAAATACTTAATTTATATGTACATCATGTTCAAGAGTCACCTTACCCAGGGAAGTGCAAAGATACAGCTTCTCAGCAGATATTTGTTGTTAATGTATAATTTCTGGTCCACATGCAACTTACAAATTAAGGGTCCAATGACTGAAATTATAATGATGGAAAATTAAATTTCCATGTAGTGTGCATTATGCTGCCAATGTTGTGAGAGTAGTATGTAACATTGTATTTTAGGTATCTGTACTTGTGCATGAAGCTTCCTATTTCACATAGGTTTCTCAGGATCACAGTTATAAATTACTAAATGCTTATACAGCCACTAACATTTTCCATGATTAGTATATAATAATAAATTCTAGGTATTCAGTTGAAGAATTTTCTGTTGTAATATACTTTAGAAGGAGAGATAGACCATGCAAGAATGTCATTCTAATTTTATTGAGTTTTAAAAGTAATTATTGCTAACAAATATAACATTTATATTTAAAAGTTATAAGCACTGAAACAACTTTCCTCCTGCTTTTTACTATCTTTAGGATTAAACTTTTCTGGTAGAAGCTTTCTTGGCTGAATGTGTTTGTTTGTACAGGAAATTGTGACTACTTTAATTTTTCTCAGTGAATAAGAAATACTGGATTTGGATCAAGTTGATGCAGTTATACAGTGATGAGCAGCAGCATTTTGCTCAGAAGCTAAGATGCCCTTTCCTCCCATTCTGCCTCCTTGGCAGTGCTGGTCCTCTCTACCCTGTGTATTATATACCAACTCTAACTCTGTTTCCTTCCTCTTTCCAGTCAACTCATTCTTGGTTTGTGTTTTTGCAGTTCAGTTATTTATTCAGGGTTAAACTACAAGAATGTAAGATGAGTATTCAGGTTACAGAATCAGGAGAGCCAGATGTGATAATGATTCTAAATTCTTTGCTTTTACTGTCTCCTCCTCCTTGCATGAAATTGCTGTGGAAGAGCATTTCACCTCTACTGTGGTCAGTTTCTCAAACAGCGAATAAAGACCATCACTTGTCAGAAACATTCTCTCTAGAAACGCCAAATATACCTAAAAGTGGAAGTCTGCTTGGATGCAGGTTCAGAGTGGTGAAAACCTTTCCAAACATTTGCTGGCAGCCCATAGCCACAGTGCTGTAAAATCTTATTGCAGCTTATTTCTTAGCATAAACAGTTTGGTCTAGTATTTCATTGTTTTTCTTCTCAGGCTATGCCCACAATAATCACTCATTCTAACTTTGGTATTTAACATTTTTTATACTTTAGATTTCATTGCTGTAATATTCTTGACTAGAATGGTTTTTGTCTTTCCATTTCTTCTATGGGTTTTCAAATTTCTTCAATATTTGAGTCCTAGTTCAAGTCCTGTAAGTGTTCCCTCTCTGCCATGTTCTCTTTCTCTGAATTTCTATCACATTTATAATAGTATGGAAGACACTGTTTTATTTTCCTACCTCCCCACTCAATCACACAACTCCTTGTCTACATTTGCATGTCATACTAAGTAATTAAGCAGGAAGGTAAACATATGGTATATGCCCGGTAAATATATGAAGTCATTGTGTTTTGTGTTATATATTAGCAGAAGGGTGGCTAAAAACCTTTTTGTTGAAAACTCTTTTTTAAATATGAAAAAAGGAGACTCACAGAGCTAAAGGTATTTCTTTTAACTCAAATTTATTAAGAGTATTTAAAACTTCTAAATTGACTTTTTCTTTCATTGTGGTAAAGTTGGAAAATATTTAGGTGAGTTAGAATAACATATGTTTCTTCAGTTATAGGTCAGTACCAGATGATTGCATGGTATTCTGGTGCATAGAAGCTGTTTCTGAACCAGATGGGGCAGGGGTGGGGCTAGGGAGGAAGAAGGAAGCTTTTTCCCACCTTTATTCAAGTGATCTCTGTGAATTGAAGCTGGTGTGCAGCACGAGCTACAGTTGGACTTTTGACTTTTTCTATTTGATAATTAGTCTAAATTCCTGAGATTTATAATTTATGGTGTTTATATATTTTTCTTTTCTCCTCTCATTTTTACTTTTTCCCCTCTCTTTTCAGTGATTTTTGTACCTGTGTCTTTTTCTTTTTTAAGATAGGTTCTTGCTGTGTGGCCCAGGTTGGTCTTGAACTTGTGGTCTTCCTGCCTCAGCCTCCTAGGTGTGTGCCAGGATACCTCGCTGTGCCTCTGTCTTTGTCTCTTCTGATTTGGCATGGCTGTTTTCATTAGCTATTGAAGAGTGTACCCCAAGGCTGTTGGCATACTGAACTAAACATTTCAGAAGCACTTTAAGATCACAGAATTAAGTTTCAGAGAAAATTCTAGTAGGGAATTGGGCTGGGAATAACACTAGAGTTAGGCATTCTTTGGAGAAATTGACCATTTTATTTCCAGTCCTAACTACATTTTAATTTCTAAGAATAATTTCTGTTTAAGCTAGAGATCAAGTGGTATACTTCCCAGTACTTGATTTTTCATGGAAATTACTTCCATGTTGAGTAATCGAAGTCACTTGTCTAGTTAATGCTTGGTCTTTGCATCATGTTTATTCTGGCCAAATTCTGGTTCTATAAAAGAATATACATCCATGAAATTTGACATAGAAAGTTTTGACATTACCATGATTATTTTACTTCCTTTCCCGTACTCCATTATTATGCAGTATTTGTATTCTTTTGGTGGCTTTCTAGAAATTATGTTTATAGGTATAATTGATGCTTTTTGCATTATAACCTAATTACACTTAATACCTCATTTTGCTGTTGTTTCTGAATTTTACTGTTTCTACTCATATTTTTTCCTGAGCAATCCAGCTTTTTCTATCACTTTTTGCTTATTTATTTTCTTGCTGTTTTGTTTTTGATCAGTTTGGAAAGTAAAAAAAAAAAATGAAGACTTTTTCTGCAGTAGTGTCATGAATCAGCTTTAAAGAAACGCGCTGTGTGGAATAAGATTGTAATTGGGACTTCTAGCCAGGAATACTAAGAAGAGAGAATGATAGGGAGAGAGAATCCTTGGTTTTTATGAGACCCTACAAAGAAAAAGGGCCTATAGTTTGGGGCCCAGTGTCTTGCTTATCCAACATGACACACCACAGTGGAATACAATGAGTTGTGGGAGATAAAAGAATATAATTATATTTAAGATTTTTTTCCTTTTTATTAGTATTTTAGTAACTATGATTTGGACAAATTATTTCTGTCAGTCTCATTGAAGAATTTTTGGTAAAATGAGTTGCCTCTTTGTTTGTTTTGTTTTTACAGTACTAGGAATTGGACCCAGGGTGTTGTATATGCTAGGCAAGTACTGTATCACTGAGCTACATTTACAGCCCTTTTTAAAATTTTACTTTGCAGCAGAGTAAGTTGCTTAGGCTGTTCTTCAACTTGTAACCCTCCTGCCTCAGCTTCCTGGAGATGCATTAATTTTGATGGTCATTGTTATTTGTATGCATATGTTTTCATTGTGTGAGATCAAATACTTTTAATAAGCTAACCTCTAGATTTTATTTGGTTAACTTAAATGGAAAAACACGAGAATTGTACTTGTAATATCCCTACAGTCCTGTATGTCAGCTGTCATTGAATTGTGGCTTGTCTTCTGGCAT